AAGAACAAATTAGTGGATTTGTTGGAAAATCTTAAGTGAGGAGCTTAGGTAGTGGATGTAGACTTGGTTGATAAGTCGAACCACTACAAATCACTATGAAAAATATTCAATATTTTCTTTCTCCTTACTATCTAATTACAATTTTCTAATTCACCCCTTTTGGTATTTTTTCGGTTGTCATTTGAGCTTCAGAAATCATAACAAATGTTTTAGATCCCCCTCTAAGTTTCTCAACAACTTTAGTAACATATATGATTGATTCTTGTCTAATGCGAGAAATTGGAGAAAGATCTAAGAACAAGAGGAAAGAAAAACTTACTTTCGGTTGAGCTTTGGACCAATAGTTTATAACTCAAAGGTAACTCACTTCAGACTCAACTATACCATATGTAGGTCAATTAAATGTGTTTAGTAGGTTGCATGAATTAAATGACATTTTCATGGTAGAAATCGAAAATCAGTGTTTCCAACATGTTTATAAGCCCTTTATGACCCCTTTAATCATACATAAGACTTTAAAAACAATTGAGACCCTTAGTAGGGCTTTTTAAAATGGAAAAGTTGCATTTTTCGTACCCAAACAGGACAATTTTGAGCAAGGGTATCGTTACTGTAAGAACAATACCGATATTGTTCTTAAAACAAAGAGTAAATTCAACAAGGAGTATCGATACCAATTCATGGAGTATCGGGTGGTATCGTTACCGAGATAACTTAGCAATTATAGTAGGCGATTTTTGTACCGATACCTAAGGTGGTATCAATATCGATACTCTTCATAGGGGTATCAATACTCAGTCAATTATCAAAATATCAAAGCTAAAAATGGTATCGATACACTGGGGTCGGTATCGATACTCAGGGGTTAGTATTGATACTGAAGGCTTATATCGGTACCCATATACAATTTTGGATAGAGAACACAATAATTTAAAGAGTAAATTGCAAGGGTCCCATTCAAACCATAATGCTACAAAATAAAACTATAAGTGAGAACGTTAAATGAAATCAAAATAATTAGAAACAACAATATCTATGATGAAATAAAACTAGCCCTTTTTTACGCTAAGAAAACAACCAGGACACCCAAGTCAATCTAGTAGATACAATCGTGCATTCAGATATCATAGTCATGCCAAGACACTTATCGCTAGCTGGGCGTAGATGCCCTAAGACTCGGCGGAGTGAGTTGGTCGGGTGTACGTTTCCGATGCAGATTCTGGATCTCACCCAGAGTATCTTCGGGTATTTAGGCAGACTAGAGTGGTGTGTGATCTCCGAAATACAAAATCCCTCAGTCGCACCATGATGTCATTCACACTATAGTGGACCAATATCTTTTATGCCCTTACACCTATGCCATCAACTAGTGTATTTAATAAATACATATAGTATAGTATAGTTTTTAATGAGACACTAAGCTCGCAAGCTTAACGTTCGAAATGTGTTTTCATGCGTTGATTAGGAGACCGTTCATGGGGAGTTATCGTCATCAAGCATTCAAGTGCAGCAGAATAAAGCAGCCGAGTATTTCAAAGTATACCTTGAGTCATTTTTAGAGAGCTTGTACTATTATAGACCCTTGTGTATTCAGTCATAACTCTTGATTTAACTCAGTATTATATTATTTTTTATACTTTGGGAGCTCCACATGCTTATAAACTCAGTTGTTTTTATTTTCATTATTATTTCTATGTGCGATTTTATCATACAATTGACATTAAGTTAATTTAAAAAAAAAATAGGTTAGGCACTTAGGTGGTCCCCTGTGATATTGTGATCCAGTGATCTTCGAATTAGACTGAATTAGGGTATTACAGTAAGATTTAACATTTTTAATGAAAAATTATAATTATAACGTTTTGTAATGATTAGTTATTTTTAATTCAAATCAAAGATGTTAGTCGATGATTCAAATGAGAGAGAAGAAAATTGATGATTTAAAGAAGAAGATAAATAATGCATATGGTTGCAATTATTAGAGAAAAGAGAGACCTTTTACATTTTGCATGATGAATTATATATCTTTTCTTAGTTAATATCAACTTTAGATGACGATGATTATTTGTAAGTCGATAAGATTAATAGATATGACTATTATATAAAAATTTGATTAATTATAAGATTAATATCAATTAGATTAATAAATTAATATTTTAAATGTTATAGAATTTTGATTACTTCGAAGGATTTACAATAAAAGTATAATTAAAAAAAAAGAAAATAGGAGTGTAATAATTCTATTATTTTTCAAAATTAATTAATTATGGTGTGGAAAATGTCACACGAGTCTATTATATTTTCGTGCAAATGTTTCTGATTAATTTGAGTAAGTGTAAGGTAATATTTGTTTAAAGATATCTTTTAATCTTTTGATAATAAAAGTTTATACCCTTGATATTTATAGTACTCAAACCCATATCCTCAAAAAATAATAATAATAATAATAATAATAATAATTATTCCACGAAAATCACTTGATTTGTGCTCTTAAAATATATTTTAGCGATAATATATATGAAACGAAAATTTTAACGAATACAGAAACTATCAACTTGGTTACTGCCCTTAATGCAAAATCAAAAGAAAAATCTTTAACGAATATGTGTATTTGTCTATCAAAATCGTTTTGCGGAAAAATATTAGTGTATAACAATGTGCTGACACAAGCACAAGAAGTCATTGTAAAATATTAAACATAATTTTGTAAAATAAAAAAGAATTTCACGATTTTTCTGAAAATAAAGTAAATCAGAGAGCCATCTATATTATAGTAATGTTTTTTAAAATCTTCAAATTAAGGAACGAAAGATACAAACACTTTTCTTATTATACCTAATAACATTAATATCTTTTTATTAAAAGTGAATGATTAAATTGTATATCTTACTGTGATAATTATTATTGACATAACTCAATTTGCATTTGACCAACAACACATTAACGATTTCAAATGGTATATTTATCAAATTCAAATAGTGTATGCAATACGGTTACCAGAATTTGACAGGTCGATTAAATCAAAAATTGATATTTTAATTAGGGTTAACACAAAAAATAAGTATTTGAATTATGTCTCGAAAAATGTATTAATATTTAAAAGATTTTTCATTAAAAGTAAATGTTTAATGTTTCCAACGTTACATTTTAAGGTATCCAAACGTTAAGTGTTGTTAAAAATCTCATTTAAGTGACACATGTCATATTAAGTTATTTTGAGAATTTATTTAAAAATTAAAAAATATATTTATTAAAAAGAATATTTTAAAAAAACATTTAAAAAAATCCCATCCTGTTCTCCCTTTTCCCTTTCCATTTCCTCCTTCTCCGATGCCTGTCACCACATGTTGGTGGCATACACCGCCACCACCTGTAGATTCGTCGGCTCATCACGATCCCAACTTCAATCAACAATCATCCAAATTGATCATTGATCGTCATTAAACAATAAGAAATCATTCGTTGTCCCTTACCGTCGAATCATTCTCTGATCAACCGTGATCGTAACTACTTCCACAAGTGAGAGTGTTGTCTAACATCTAGAAAATCCAACTATCCTCTTGTCGAGTAGCATTGTCGTTTGCCGTGGAAGACGCCATCGAAGCTGTGGTAAAAACCCAATAACAATTATTTTGTAATTTTAAAAAACTTTTTGAGTTTTTTAAAAATAAATTTAGTTTTTTTTTTAATTTTTTCTTTTAAAAAAATATTTTTATTTATAAAAAATAAAACAAATATAAATATAAATATAAGAACCTAAAGATATAATATATATTTTTAAATAATTTTTTTAAATATAAAATATTTTTGAGACATAATTTAAACATTTATTTTTTTATTAATCCTCTAATTAATTAAATTAATCGAATAAAATCAAACATTTAAAAAGAAGGTGAAAATCTAGAACGTGACTAAACATCACTCTCCAAAGAAGGCGTGTGGAGAGGCAAGTCGAGCAAAAGAATCTCGTATTGCACGATCTCGCCACGTGGTGATATGTTAACAAAAGCTTAATCTTAATAATTTTATTCGAAAATAAATAAATAAAATATATAATAATGAAACAGCGATGAACATAAAAGCAAAGAACGGTGTTAGAAAAATAAGTGTGCGGTTAGTTGGGGGATTGTGAGATTTTTATGAGAATGAAATCTACATTATCATGTTTGGTTAGCTGAGAATGTCATTTTCGATAATCTTACATTAAAAATAGTTTATTTTTTAGAGTATATTATCGAAAATGTCATTACCTCAATTTCCTTAGGTATTGTTAGATTACTAGCGTTTTGGACTAAAATGCCCTTAAAAAAAAATTTCCTTTCAAAAATATCCTTAATATGTTATTGAATAATAAAAATTATACGAATGTTAAATTACAAATTATTTTTAAACTATTTTAGATTTACAAAAAAATCTATAATTAAAATTTTATATAAAGTTCAGGGATTAAAATAAAATTTTACCCTTTTATTAAGTCTTTTTATATTTTTAATTTTGTAAAAACAATTATATAAATTTTATGAATTTAAATTTTTTAAAGAAAATATATAAATATATTTTAACTTGTTAAAAATACAAATATATAATAAGGACAATTTAGTTAAATATATATTTTAATAATATTTTATTCTTTTAACCAAACACGGTAATCTTACATTCCTGCTAAACCAACCAAACACAAAATATAACATTATCAGTAATTCTATTCCCGGATAATCTTTTATTCTCCCTAATATTTCAATTACTCGTGTCTTCCTGTTATTGGTCCACGTTTCCCACTTATCCTATTAAAATTATCTCCACGTGTCATTATTTCAACAAATCTGATCAAACGACGGTCCACGATTCACTAAATCGACGTCACAACAACTATACGTGTCGGGTCCGTCTTGCCCTGACGGTGACGGTAGCCTGCCCGTACTTTGATTGTGGCCCCCAGGTGGATATTAGAGCTCTCTCTTCTCTATCACTACAAAAGCTCTCTTCTCTGCTATTTTCATGGGGTCATTTCATTTCCGCTTCAAATCTCTAAATTGAAATTAAAAGAGAAAATCTCTTTGATTTTGAAACGAAGCTTGTTCTTTACCGTAAAAGAGATCCGATTTTTAGTCTTGAATTTTTATATAGTAATCTAAATGGCTGGAGTTTGCTGTGAAGTTGTTGCGGAGACAGAGTCAGCAGCGGCAGTTGAACAAAACTCGAGATCTTCCCGTCGCCGGAGAATGGACCTTAGGCCGTGTAAGTTAGTCTCCGACGCCTCCGTTTCACCGCCGTTGGAAAACGGTAGAAAACGTCAGAAGCTGGATCTGGGTCTCATCCTCCAGGCTTCTCGTGACTGTGATAACGCGATTGAGAACTCGGAATCTAACCAGCTTAACGAAGATCACGAAACTAATGAAAGTTTTAATTCTAATGGAACAGTAGAGCTAGAGATCGAAACGGAACCGACGAAGTTCGGTTTGACTTCCGTTTGTGGAAGGCGACGCGATATGGAAGACGCCGTTTCGATTCATCCGTCGTTTTGTAAACTAAGCTGTGAAGCTGAAATTTCGTCCGATACTCACTTTTTCGGCGTCTTCGACGGTCATGGCTGCTCTCATGTACTAAACAAATCTAATCTTCGTTTGAATTGAAAATATGACATAAATTTTGAATTTACTTTTGCTTATAGTGGACTTCCGTTGTGTTTTCTAGGTTGCGATGAAGTGTAGAGATCGGTTTCATGAGATAATTAAAGAAGAAATCGAAGCTTGCGGCGGCGGAAAGACGGTGGACTGGAAGCTAATTATGGAGCGAGGCTTTGAGAGGATGGATAAGGAAGTTCAAGAATCCACGGTAGATGACGCCAAGGAGAATTCAAATTGCCGATGCGAACTCCAAACTCCGGAGTGCGACGCCGTCGGATCCACCGCCGTGGTCGCTATTGTCACGCCGGATATGATCATCGTTGCCAACTGCGGTGATTCCCGCGCCGTATTGTGCCGTAACGGCATCGCTCTGCCCCTCTCCGACGATCACAAGGTATAAAGTTATTTTTATTAATTTAGTATTAAAATCTTTTTTTAATAAAAAAATCGAATTAAAATCAAATCACACATCAGTTTTTCAATATTCGGTATTCTCTCGCTCTAATTTGTATATTTATTTTATTGATGATCATAGCCGGATCGACCCGATGAACTGCTCCGAATCGAAGAAGCGGGTGGCCGAGTAATTTACTGGGATGGCCCTCGAGTTCTTGGTGTTTTAGCCATGTCGAGAGCGATTGGTAAGTTTCAAAAATAATAATAAATACGTAAATAAATTATTTCTTTTTTTTAAAAAAGATTCTTTAATCTAATTTAATTTTTAATTTTTAGGTGATAATTATTTGAAGCCGTTCGTTATACCGGAGCCTGAGGTGACAATAACGGAGAGAACTAGCGAAGATGAATGTTTAATATTGGGGAGCGACGGATTATGGGACGTGGTGACAAACGAGACAACTTGCGGGGTGGCGAGTATGTGTTTACACGCTCAAAAGCCTGTATCAACCCCATTGTCACCAGGTAGTGACGCTGTGGTTCATGGTGGCGGAGGCGGAGCCGAGAGTTCCGACAAGGCATGTCGGGATGCTTCCATTTTGTTAACCAAATTGGCCTTGGCTAGAAACAGCGCCGATAACGTCAGTGTTTTGGTCGTTAATTTGAAGAAAAATCAACGGCTATGATTAAAATCTAAAAATTAAGTAGATATAATTTTGGAGACTGATATTTTAATTGACGAACAAATATAAAATTAAAGGGAAAACTATGTTTCTTCTTTATTTTCCTTCCCATTTTGATGAAATTGTAAAATTATAAATGATTAATCATAGTTTTATCTCTGATTAGTGTTAAATGTTTGACCAAATGAAAGCTTAATTATCTTCACTAAAATAATTTATTATACTTTTCCAATATCAAATTAAGTCCGAACTTTTATTTATTTAATTGTTTTGGTTAATCGATGTGTTTTATTTATTTTTTAGAGTCTTCTATGTGGTAGTGTCCATTGGAAGCTCTCATATATTATTGTGAAGACCGAAGTAAAGAAAAATCAAAAGAAATTTTATTGAAAATGCATATATACGAATCTCGCAAAGGGTTTATATCAATAATATGTTGATTGGTTATATTTAATTGCTTCAAATGTCAATTATAATGTGGGTTTTATCTTCAATTGTATTCTCTATTTCCATTTAAAACTGAAAATATATTCATGTTTTAACAATTTTAGCATTTTTTTTACATTGACAAATTTAGCATCTAAACTTATTGGTACATTAACAGTGATTTCTTAAAATTTTGTGAACTACATTGAAGTATAATAATGTCGTATTAATTAATTAACTAATGTGTTGTTTATCCATTAATAATATATAGAATAATGATCTCTTACTTCAATTCTTTTTCTAGAGACTTGCCAAATATAATTTAGTTAATAATAAAATAAGTGAATGGCTTTCATTTCAAATCGATGATCACTCAGAGGCATACAAGATATAGAGAAAATCTCAACTATTTGGCCGATTGTCTGTGCAATTTGCAGAAAAAGTGATACTCGTGTCTGTGTGAGAAAATGATGATGCATATGAATTATTGTGGGAATATAGGCATTGCAGAATTTAATCCAAATCCCGACAGTACCAAATTCCTTCAACGATTTCATATGTACTGTCATACTTTTTGTTGATCACTTGTATTTCCACTTATATTTTTGTTGATGACAGATTCTTATGTCGTACTTTCATCATATTGATTTAGGACTACCAAGGTCAAGTGGAAACCTTTTAAATATTAAGCCCGTCGCCATCCCTAATCCTAACACACTCAAACCTAGGAGTAACATTCAATTATTTAGTTTTAAGGGTTAATTCCACGGACATCTCCAAGTAATGATCCAATTCTAAACCGGTGTCTAAATTTCGAAACGTCTCAATTGTATTCTCAAGTCAAACATGAAATAGTAACCTTTTTGATCAACTCAAAATGATCTTTGTGAATAAAAGATTAGAAATGAAAAAAAGAAATACATTTACAAACCACAAGCAAGCATAACACAAAACACAAATAATTATCATAATTAAAATACAATTGAATTGAGATCAAAATAAATTTAAACAGAATATAATAATTTCTTAGCTGAAAACTAGAGTATTGAAAACCTATACATGAGACTTACACCTAAATTAAGTCAAAGTCCGGTTGCACCTTAAAAATAAATAAACGTGCATAAGGCGGATCAAGTTGAGTTTTAAGTCTACCCTAATTTGATTCGAGTATTATATCATCCTCCATTCATCCGACTTGTGCCAAGTTTAGAAAGACTCCACCTGATCCGAAATACAATTCGATTCTTGAAAAAGAAAAAAAAAAACCTGCCGACTTGCCCAACACCACACAAATTTATATATAAAATATTCTCTTTTTTATTCAGTAAAATAGACCTAATTTAAAAATATAAGAAAAAAAAGATATTATTGCAATTATCCCTATAATATAAGGGATGATTACACTATTATCTAGGGTTATGTTAAATCAAGGATATTTCACCCTAAACCTGAATTCGACTACAACTCAACTTTTTTAATAAAAACAATCCTACAAAATTAGGTCGAGTTGAAACCTGTCGGATCCGAGTCCTATGCCCATCCCTAATCAGACAAACCTTCAAGCTCGACCCGTAGGTCTATTCTCATCCTCATCAAGAAGCATATCTAAGCTCTACTACAGATCAACTAATACGAAGTATAACAGAACGACTATAGAAGAATAAACACAGGAAATCAAAATGAATTTAGCTTTACAAATAAATATTTTATTTTTCCATATTATCCAATGAAATGAAATTCTAAAAGAAAAATGACCCTACCACTTCCCTCAGAAAATAATTAAAACAAAAGTTGAAGATAATATATGTTAGAATTAAAATACAAAAGGATCTGTAAAAACATACCAGGCTCCATTTCAGCTGAAGATATAAAATTATCCCTATGAACCTCAAAAGTTTCGGATGTCCTCCTCCGGTCTGATTACTGTACGATATTAAAACTTCAAAAATCAAGGAGCTGTTCTTTTTTATTTGGAAACAACCCTTGGGCGGGATTTGCGTTAGCATGTCTAATTACATCTTCAAGTTCCATTAGTAAACACCAAGGGGTGAGACTTTGAATGTTTGGTTCCATTGGTTCAGCTGCGGAGTAGGCGTTTGTCACATGCCAAGACCCTGTAACTTGCATGAGGACCCTCGGATGTATAGCGTAGAGCCGGATGCCAACCCATGGCTTTTGCAATATTTTGAAGTTCATCCATAACATCAAGAGAATCGTAGATGTATACTTGTGCGCCAGGTCGCAATATCCAGTCCATTTCAAGCATGATGGTAGACATTACATCTGATATTCAAGTTGGAAATAATCAAATTTATCAACGAATCCTATATACTAACACTTCTCCTTGTCAATAAGACTTCCAAATCATACACATAGCGACAATGAAACTATCCAGACATGCTAACCCATACTACAAAATTAACAATTTTCGATTGTAAGTTATAAAGATCATAAGGTGTACCTTTTCCTCTCAATTTAAAAGAGGCCAGCTGCATGCAAAAAGTCATAGGTCCTCGGGTAAGTATCAAATGGTTCACACCTGTAAAATTACACAATTTAGCTCATAACCCTGATAAAGCAGTGAAAACACACATAGCATACTTCAAACTTTTGGACTAACTTTTCCAAGAAGTTGAGGGAAGGGATAACTTTTCGGAGATCCAAAGCAATGAGTTTTTGGCCACAAGTAACTAATGATTAAAGATAATCGATGAAAATACAGGCATTACTAATCCTATCCAATTCAATCTGATCAACTATAGAGTTTCCTGATTGGAGTTATGATTAAGAAAAAGTACCAGTCATGCATGACTCCTATTAATCCACGATCATATATAACAGGCAAGGTGTTGGGCCCACTAACAGGGACCACATTGAGAACCCAAGCATCAAGTTGATTGTCGATCAACGCTGAAGCAAATCTGCACAAAAGTACACCAAAAAAAGTTTATAACTACTGCAACAAGTATCTTAATTGTACAGTGCAAGACAAGGTTAAATAGAATACCCTCCAAAGCTAGCTCTCATGTCCATTACATTCCTTAGATTAAACTTCTTCCAATGTAGAGAACGGACATAGCTTGCCACTATTTCATTCCAGTATTTTGATTCTGCCTTGAAGAGTTCTTTTCTAGCTACGTAGGAATCAATATGTATGCTCTGCAGCCTGTCAGGTGGAATTTGCAAACGAGCAGGCCATGGAGCAACATTTGCACCATATCCATTCTCAGGAAGTCGACTAATGCATGCCTTTAGATCAACGTACCTGACAGATTATACGAATTTCCTGTGACTTACTTGAAACTACTCACAGTAAGAAACAAACAAATTTAAATTGGCACCCTTGAGCAAGGAAGACCTAAATGATAACCAAGAAGAACTAACAATAAGGACAAGAATGAGCAATTCCAGATTTCAAAATAGGTTTAGAAATTAATCTTCAGAGACTGATGATGTTAAAATAGTATGCAAGTGAGGAAAACATTGTTCAATTCATGGAACCATCAAAAACAAAATAGGCATAGAGAAGTGAAATCATGCCAGCAGTCAATTTCACACAGCTTTCAGTCGATAAAACTTTCAATGGTCAAAAAGATCCTTGGCAAAACTCCAACACCGTTTCAGAAAAGAAATTATATGCAAAAGTTCCTTCAAGCAACAGACGGTTTCCCATTCTTTTTATATGGTACGTAACACTAAAAGCAATATACACCAGCTAGTGCACAACAAGATGCATAGAACAAGTATTAAGACTTCACGCATTCAATTATATGATTGCTGATACTCAAATCATCAGCATATGTAGGTAAGGACATGTATAACTAAAAACTAGCCATTCAAGTTTGATGATATTGTCACATTATCAGTTGTTTCTCAAATAAAAAGAAGAGTTTGAACATATCAAACATTATCTGGGTCAGCTTCACGGCTTAAATAACAGCTGTTATTAAAAGGCTTCTGCCATATTGCAATGTACCCTTCCTTCTTTACAAGATTCCAGCAGAGGCGAGTAGTAAGGTTAAGCATCTCTGGAAACAAAGATAAAAAAATAATCATGCATAGAAAATCTAATACATAATTTCTTACAAACTGCCACACAACATATTTCACCAAATGAGCACAAGACAAATAGCATAAATGGTAAACCAGTAAAATTTAAAGTTGAAATTGCAAATGTGCAATGAGTATTGTAGTTATCACATTTCTTCACATGCTTAACATGAACTCTAGGTCCAGAATTTTACCTTCAAGGGCTTGTTTGTGCTTGTAAACAGGCTGCGCTGCCCAAGCAAAATATCCACCAGCTCTGAGCATTCTATTCACCTCAAGGAGCAAAATTCCATCTTCATTACAAGCCATAGAAGGGTAAATCAAAAGATGTCCCAGAAGTTGATTAAAAGAAACATGAAAGTCATATTCTATAAACATCTAATGAAGCAATAATGTTTATTAAATATAAACAAGTTTTTATTTAAAAAGAAAAGGTAGAAGAAGAAGAAAAAGTTCATTGGCAAAGATTAAGGTAACTGGAATTGTGGAAGAATTTCCTTACTGGAGAAGAGCAACAGATACAATATAGAATGAGTATATAGGGTAGCCAAATCCCGAAGTGAAGATATGATATTTGAAATAGTACAATAAAACTTTATCAGGTCTAAAATATTTTCCTTACTATGCTTTGCAACTAAAAAATGACTAGATAAGACGTGAACAAAAAGTATAGCATTGCAACTAGATAAGACATAACAAAAAGTATACCATCACGAGTCCAGTTGATACGACATCTAGAACAATGTATCAAATCAAAGGCTTGACTTGGATACAATAAACGACGAGTTGCAAATGCAGCTACCATTGCAGGCACTCCACGTTCAAGTGCAAATTGGATCTGGTTTTCATGGACATCTTTAGGAGCTACTGACATGGTTATAACATTCCGTGATAGCAAATATGCACCAAAACTTGCCACACCACATCCAACATCCAGAGCAACACGAATATGATGACCAAATGTAATCTCAGGAACCATCTGGATATACAGATTAAAACATGATCGTCAGAAATAAAATCCACATGTAAAATTGCTTGGAGTTTTGCATGAATACATATAAGTTTTTAAAATTTTCACAACCTTAGACATTTGATCCAGGTACTGGTCTGCCCCATGTATGAATTGTGTGCCACCTCCAGGAAACTTGAATTTATCCTTCCCTTTTCTGGAAATCCAATTCTGACCACCTTTGTCATCTACCAGACGTGAATGTGGGACATTACTGAACCATATCTATCATCCATCGAAGCAGTATAACCTATTAGAAAACTGCGTATGCTACATACAAATAAGTGAGAGTTTTTGTGGATAATTGTTGAAATAATCGAAAGAGTTAACAAATCATACAGTAACAAAAGCAATTTCAAAACAAACCTTCAAGTAACAAAAGGTTCTTGTTAAAGCACAAAATGGGAAAAAGAAAACACTCAAATATTTTTTTTTCCATTTAATCCCTCAGCAACAAAAGGGGAAAACTAAATCAAACCCAGCAAATAACAAACCAAATTCATCTCTATATATGAGTTCTTTGATAGGATCCTTGATTTTAAGGATTTACAATTTTAAATAACTGAATTTGTATTAGAATATTTAATTTCCATAAATGTTATCTATTTCCTTGTTCTAGAACCCTAATTCTTTGTCACCAAAGATTATAAGCACTATAAATACGAAATGCACTATGGTTATTTTTATCAATCAATAAAATATAATAAAAAGACTTTTGACAACTGTTTGAAGGTTGATCCCTCGGAGTGATCAAATTTTAATATCTCTTATTAATTTTCCTAATTTCCTTTTGATAGAACCCTAAATTCTTATCATTCTTTGTTTTAGTCTAAATTATCGAACACTACATATCTCAATTCTCCGTAGGATATATTTTCCGTAAAGATCTAAAGATACCAAATCCGTTTTTCGTACTTCAACACATATAATAATTTAACAAAAAGTTAAGTAGAAAATAAATAATTTAACAAACATATCATTTGGTTAGTGCTTCCTAAACACCCCAAACCCCCAAAAAACTAACAAATAAACTCATAGTCTGTTGTTTTTAATTAATTAATTATGAACTCCTGACTCTAACTCAGCTCCATTAACTGCCTGCAGAACTTGAGTATTGATCGAGTTGAGACGAAGTAGTTAAATATCTTAAAAACAGGAATACATAAACCATGCATTTCATTCAACATTATATCTTTAAAAATTAATCAAAATATTTTACCTCATCACGGCTTTTAGGCCACGGGATCGGTGGTCGGTACCCTTTGGGAGGAGGAACCAAGCAATTCAATCCTTTCCCCTTTTCCGGACAGTGCCGTTCAAATCTCTCCCCGTTCATAGTCGATTTAAGGCTCTTGATCGCTTCCATATTATCCAAACAAGGTACATACTCTCTCATCGTCTGGTCACAAAGGCCAAACTTCTTAACCCGAAATGTGGACCTAGCATATTCCTTACTGGTTTCCGTCTCAATCTCCGTTCCGCTTCCCCAATCCTCCACCAAATCCGGATCGAACTCCCCAATCTCAAACTCATCCGACATCGTACCATTCTCATCCACGATACCGTAACTCTTTATCTCAGGCGGAGGAGGTGGTGGTGGTGGATTCAGAGCTGTCTTCGACGCCAACACCGATTGCTGCACATTACTTATAACTGGATCACCTGGTTCCGGTTATGTGGCATCAATGAGAGCAGAAATATTGAATTCTTTATTGAAAACGAAAGCCGAGAAGTTTCATTGTTTGGAAAACAAAACCGACGGCGGCGAGCAGTGGCGGTGGCGGAGATCTGGAATTCTGGATTGTCGTTTTTGAATCTAGTGGAGTTATATAAAATTGTTGTACTGCAGTGGCATTTTCGTGATTTTTATGGGGTGGAAAAAAAAGCTCCTAGTCTGTGAAGTAACGAATTTTCGGAACTATTAATTGATGCGTATTTTGCTAACCTAACCTGGCCGTGAATAGAAGTTTTCTTTTTGGCTTAATTCTGGATTTAGTCTCTCTTTTCTGTTCAAATTTAAGATTTAATCTCCTTGAATTAATTTAACATAATTTGATTCATCTGATTTTATAATATCATTAGTTGATCTAAATCGATAACTCGTTAATTTCTTTTGTTAAAGTGACGGGTGAAACTATTTTTTAAAATTTATATCGTAACTTTAATAATAACTCTTAATAAATTATTCATTTAAACTTACTAATAATGTCATTAGTCTAGTATTATGAATATAATAAATTGAATTGAAATTCATATAATAAATTATTGTGATATTTAATCTAAATTAGTTGATTAATAAATTAGATACTAATAATTATAAAATTATAACAAAACAAAAATAACAATAAAAATGAAATAAAAGAATTTGCTTATTTATTATTTTTACATGGATATTTATTATGATAAATTACACCTCAGATCATTTAATTATTAGACACGTTTAAAACATATTATTTTTAAGTAATAATTTATTCAATTAAAATATGTTACAAATAGGTTATTCTGTTATCAAAATTAAAACCAAAGTCTAATGTAGTATGATATAAAGGCGTTGACGGAGTTTAATCGTGTTTTTGTAGTCGATAATGACTGAAGAACGCTCTGAGCAGGAACTTGATATCCTGACGAGAAGTAAAAAGAAGATCAAAGCCTCTTCTGATGAGGCAATGGCATCCATCTCTGAGATTAACATGAAGGAGGTTTTAACGCAGACGTCGGTGGAAATACCTGAAGGGGAAAAACTATCCTATCGAAACATGCTTCTTGGGAAAAGTTTGATAAACGGATTTCAGGAAACATGTGAGTTTGGACCTATAAGAGAAAATGATGGCTTGATTTCGATTGGCTGTAAAGAGTCATTGTCCTCGATCACCACTTCGATCAAGTTTAGAGCCTGTCTCCAGATTAGATGGACCAACTGTTTGATTCTGAAGTTGTTTGGTAAGTATATAGGGTTCAGAGCAGTTGATGAATGAATCTGCAAAGTGTGGATGCCTAAAGCTGAATATGAGTTGATCGACGTCGGGGAAGGTTACTTGCTTGTCAAGTTTTCTTCTGTCGATGACCTTCGATTTACCCTGGAAGAAAGATCGTGGATCTTTTATGGCCAGTACTTAATAATTCGTAAGTGGTTTACCAATTTCAATCCTTCAACAACGTCTATAGATTCAACCGTAATCTGGGTTCGTTTCCCTGGACTCCCTATCTATTATTACAATGAGATGATGCTTTTTGCTATGGGGAATACCCTCGGTCATGCTCTGAAGGTGGATGCAAACACTAGCTATGCCTCTAAAGGAAGGTTTGCACGTGTTTGTTTGGTCGATCTCTTGTCCCGAAAATCGAAGTGGATGGTCGTTGGTACCCCGTTGAATACGAATGACTACAACTAATTTGTTTCTATTGTAGTAAACAGGGCCGACCCAATACATGTGCCTGATGGGAAACGACCCAGGGCAACATGTAGGCTGGGGCATCAGTTTCTAATATTTAACAAGCATGCAAGAATCATATCTTGACTGGATTTTAAATAAACGACAAACAATATGCCGCCCTAATAAATCAAGTAGTTTGCTACCATCTGCAAGAAATACCTAACAGACAATGCATCACATATAGACCACAAAAGATACAGGTTACATTATAGAGCTCGATTAGTTTTTCTAGTCACTTGAACTTAATACATCTAACCCTTTTCTGGAAAAATAAAAACATGCTACATGCTATGATATTATTAAAGTGGACGGTGCCAAAGTGGTGACAACGGCAGCAGAGGCGCCAATAACTGTGAAGAGACGGAGGCCAAGAGAAAGGAAGGTTCTCGCTACTCCATTTTCTAGAGCATTTGGGTAAACTGCGTGTATTTCTTTTAATGTTTTATCATTTATTACTACTGATAAATTATATGTTCCTTTTTTGCTACTTTTATAACTAGTTATTTGTTTAACATCAAATGCTTTGCTTCATTAGAAGCCGGTCTTGCTTGGGGAACAGTTCAGGAATCTTCCAAGAGGCTTGTTTATGGTTCTCCAAACTCAAATGAAAAGCAGTCTGTTGTTTCACCATTCTTGTCCGAAAAAAATTATCATCATTGTTTTTAACTCTAGACGTGAGTTCAAGTTGAATTCACGGTAAAATAATTGGCTTTTATGGAGAAAGAACAGAACTTGTCATACCATATAATTTCTTTCTATGTTTTGTCTACTATACAGTAGGGGCATAAAATTATTATCTCGCCCAGGGCATTAAAATTCATTGGACCGGCCCTGGCGGTAAGTTTAGCCACCGTGACTGTTTGTCGAAATCCAATGATCCGCCTTTGAACGTCAACCCTAAGGTTACTTCAATGACCATTGGAGATCAAATAAAAGATAATTCCTCATGATAGATGGCCACTTTGGCAGTAGAAGATCTAAGAGTCTTCGATTTTGGTCCCTGGATGATTGCTTAACGTCAAAATTCAATGAGAGCAACCAAAAATCAAGGAGCTAACAGTGGGAAAGATACTAATCAAGGAAATAATATCTCGGGTTTGAGATTCTCTCCTCTTACTGAAGTTTCAGATGGTCAGCCTTCTAGTATGGAAAGTTTCCAAATTAACTCGGATTTGAAGCAAAATGCTGTGAAAGAAAAAATTGACCAGAATATGCAGGCATATATTTTCAAGAAAGGTAAGGCTCATGTTTCGAAGGCTGTTAATAAGCCAGTATCCAAGCCCTAGTGACCAACCCATTTCGTGCATAAAAAATCGACCGCCAAAAATAATTATTTGTATGGAACAACCCCTAATAATGTACATGCCCTCTCCATGCAAGCTCTTTTGAGAATTTTGAATTGATTAGAATGTGCTGCCAGCTTTGATATTGTCATGTGTGAAATGGAGAATATTGTTCCTCGTTCCTCATATCATAGGATCTCGAAGCCCCCTGATGGTATTGCAACCCCTCAAACAACGAATGCTACAATGGGTGAATGTTGTGGCCGTCCCTTTCTTATGTGGCCACAACCGGATAGGTATGCCAAGGCCAACCATGTATAGGGCCTAGTGGCAGGGTAGAATAAGCTTTTTCTCTTTTCAAGCATTTCAATGTTTTAGGTAGGGAGTGGGGGTATGTCTTACTGTCCCCTGTTCGAGCTTTTCAAACGTCTATAGGTAGCATTTTTGTTATTTTGTTTTCGCATATATGTAGGGGGTGGATAGCCGGTAGAGTTTGGGCTGATCCACAGGTAAAGGTACGTATCTCGTGAACATCATCGAGGGCCGCCCCTACGGCCTAATCGATGGTGTGGGTGAGTCTTCTGTAACCCGATGTTTCTTTTGTTAATAAAACATTTTTCTCTCGGAGAAGTCCGGGGGTTGAGATGTACATCCGCTATGTCCCATGGGCTCAGATTATTGATCAAGGGACCATGTGGCTACAAAGATCTAACATGATGTTTGTTCTTGTTTGATCAGATATATGAGATAAAGGCTGACTTGACTTGGGAAGAGTCCCTTTTCAGGTGACGCACGGATTGCAAACCTATTTGAAAAGGCAAGTCCGTGACACTTGGTATCAAAAAGAATGATTCGTGGTAGACGAGTTGTGTCCCTTGTTTCTTTTAAGGAATTACGCCGAGCGCTTCAGCGTTAAGAGTTGGAAGGAGAACAGAGTTCATATCGAGCGCTTCCAGTGGGGAGTAGGCCGGATAACCTGATCTTACGCCGGGTGCTCTAACGTGTGGAGTATGCAGGGTATTCTTATTTCACGCTGAGCACTTCACTGTTATAAGTTGGAAAGGGGACAGAGTTCATACCGAGTGCTTCCAGTGGGGAGTAGGCAGGATGACCTGATCTTACGTCGGACGCTCTAACGTGTAGAGTAGACAGGGTGCTATAATATCACGCCGAGCACTTCAACATTGAGAGTAGGCAGGGGAGACATAGTACATGTCGAGCGCTTCTAGAGGGGAGTAGGTAGGATGACCTGGTCTTACGCCGAGCGCTCTAACGTGTGGAGTAGGCCGTGTGAAATAAGATGTGCTTTAATATCACGCCGAGTGCTTCAACATTTAGAGTAGGCAGAGGAGACAAAGTGTATGCCGAGCGCTTCCAGAGGGGAGTAGGCAGGATGATCTGATCTTAGGTCGAGCGCTCTAACGTGTGGAGTAGGCAGGGTGTCCCAGATTCACGCCGAGCATTTCAACGTGTAGGGTAGGTAGGGTAGACAGAGTTCATGCCGAGCGCTTCTAGAGGGGAGTAAGCAGGATGACCTGATCTTACGCCGAGCGCCTTAACGTGTGGAGTAGGCCGGATGAAATAAAATGTGCTTTAATATCATGTCGAGTGTTTCAACGTGTGGGGTAGGCAGTGTAGACATAGTTCATGCTGAGCGCTTCCAGAGGGGAGTAGGCAGGATGACCTGATCTTACGCCGAAAGCCTTAACGTGTGGAGTAGGCCGGGTGAAATAAGATTATCTAGGCACAATGGTGCTCAATTGTGAAACTGCGCAGGGATATTTTCATCTGAGTAACAATACAAGCACATGTAATAACAGTGTTTGGCAGGGGATCTTGCTTTATGTAGCACGGAGGTGCTTTATGGTAATATTTGTGCAAGAATGCTTATTTGTGTTGTTGACATCAAGGCGATACTTTTAGCACGAGGATGCTGAAAATTTTGTGTTGTGACA